CTCTTTCCATCTTCTCCTGTATTCTTCATTCTCCCTATTCCCTTCATTTTCCTTCCTCTCATTGTTGAATCCTAGAACCACAGAATTGGAAGGATTCTCAGGCCCAACCTGTACCTGAAGGATATCTGCTCTCTCCACCATCCCATCATGTGGTCTTTCATCCTCTGCTAAAGCTGCAATGACAGGAAACTCATTAATCTAATCTATCATCTTTCCTCTCTCTTTTTCACTGCCTGTCCTCCTTCCTTTTTTTCCTCCCCCTCTTTTTCCTTCTTTTCTTATCCCCCCAGTTCACAGCCTTATAGACAAAACACTAAGCTGACAGCCAGATCATCTAGAGTTCTCCAAGTTCCTCTTTGTGATATTTTGACCTAACCTTCTTTGGATTCTATTTATCCATCCATAAAATTGGAAAGACCATTAGATTTGGAGTCAAAAGAACAACTTGTTTTGAATCCTGTCTCTGCAACATGTGTGACTTTGCTCAAATCACCTAACATCTCTAGACCTCTATTTTCTCATCTGTAAAATCAGGACACGATGGGCTTAGTTAATCTGTAGGTTCCTTTCTAGGTCTTACTGTATGGTCATGCCTAGTATGAAAAAAGACAGACTTCCGAGAGCCAAGATGGCGGAGTAAGCAGTAAATCACTGTAACTCACATTCACCTCCAAATAACCATAAAATAGTGGTCCCAAACAAATCCTGGAATAGCAGAGCCATCAAAAAGATGGGGCAAAACAATCTTTTAGCCCAAAAAACTTGGAAGATTGACAAGAAAGGCCTATCTCACTTGAGTAAAAGGGGAGCACATTCCAGGACAGGAAGCATCCCAGAAAAGCAGCAGCAAGCCCCACCTCAGCAAATCAGCAGGAGATACTGAGCCCCAGTATGGGTGGAGCAGGCAAAGGTCAACACCAGAACCTCCCACATGCCTTAGCATACATAGCCAGGGAAATCAGCAGACTCTTCTTCCAAGAACAACCATGTGCTTCTGGCACTGGGCAGACAGGCATCCTCCAGCGTGATGAGAAAGTAGGCCAGACCTCCACATGCTTCAGTGTAGCCCCGGGGAAATGCAGAAACACCCCAATGGACCTCAGCACACACCAGACACCACCACTGGGACCCTAGCTCAGCACCAGATAAGCTGCCAAACCTCTACGGCCCCCACCAGTGCCAGCCATCCCCTACCCCACCCCCTCAGCACAGCACCAGACACAAGGGTCCCCTGGGAGCCCCAGGGCAACATCAGCACAACACCAGGTAAACAGCCAGGGCCTGTAGCAGAGAGCCCCTTCCACCCCGGGGGCAGAGCTCAAATTCAACAGAAAGGGAAAAGGCAAAAAAAAAAAAAAAAAATGAAAATAAAAAACCAACAAAAAAGAATCTGACCATAGAAAGTTATTACGGTGACAGGGAAGACCATGACATAAACTCAGAAGAGGACGACAATATCAAAACACCTATGCACAAAGCCCCAAAGAAAAATAGGAAGTGGTCTCAAGCCCAGAAAGAACTCATGAAAGAAATGAGAGTGATGGGGCAGCGAGGCGACTCAGTGGAAAGAGCACTGGCCCTGAAGTCAGGGCGACCTGAGTTCAAATCCGGCCTCATAACAAACACTTGACACTTACTAGCTGTGTGACCCTCGGCAAGTCACTTAACCCCAATTGCCTAAAAAGAAAGAAAGAAAGAAAGAAAAAAATGAGAATGACGCAAGAGAATTATGAAAAAAGAGTCAACAGCTTAGAAAACTTAAAAAGTAGAATTTGCCAAATGGAAAAGGAGATAGAAAAATCCACTGAAGAAAACAACTCCTTAAGGAGTACAATCGGGCAAATGGAAAAGAAAACACAAATGCTAATTGAGGAAAACAACACCTTAAAAATTAGAATTGGGCAAGTGGAAGCTAATGACTCTGAGGCATCAAGAATCAATCAAACAAATTCAGAAGAATGAAGAAATGGAAGAAAATGTAAGATATCTCATGGGAAAAATAACTGACCTGGAAAATAGATCCACGAGAGATGATATCACAAATACTGGCCTACTTGAAAGCCATAATCAAAAAGAGGGTCTGGACAGCATCTTTCAAGAAATTATCAAGGAAAACTGCCCTGATGTCCTGGAACCAGAGAGCATAATAGGCATTGAAACAATCCACCGATCACCTCGTAAAAGAGATCCCAAAATAAAAACTCTAAGGAACATTGTAGCCAAATTTTGGAACTAGCAGGTCAAGGGAAAAAATACTACAAGTGACCAGAAAGAAACAATTCAAATATTGGGGAATCACAATCAGTATTACACAGAACTTGGCAGCTGCAACATTAAAGGATCAGAGGTCATGGAACATGATATTCCAGAAGACAAAAGAGCTAGGACTACAACCAAGAATCCCTTACCTGGAAGAATTAAGCATAATTCATCAAGGGGGAAAATGGTCATTCAATAAAATAGAAGGACTTCAAACTTTCATGAGGAGAAGACCAGAACTAAACCAAAAATTTGACCTCCAGTATCAAGACCCAAGAGAAGAATAAACAGGTAAAAAGGGAAAAGAAAACATAAGGAATTCAGTAGAGCTAAGCTATTTATATTCCTACATGGGAAGATGATACTTATAATTCTTAAAAATTGTGTCACTAATAGTATAACTAGAAGGAATATATAGAGATGATATGGGTATAAGGTGAGTTTGAGAGAATGACATAAAATTAAGGGATGAGAAAGAGGAGTACAATGGGTGCAGAAGGAAAGGAGAGGTAGAATGGGGTAAATTATTTCACATGAAGAAGCATGAAAGACCTATTACAGTGGAGGGGAAGATGGGAGGGTGGACGACGAGCATCGCTTGAACCTTACACTCATCCGTATTGACTCAAAGAGGGAATCATATATGCAATCAGTGGAATATAGAAATCTATCTTAACCAACAGGGAAGTAGGAGGGGAGGAGATCAAGGAAAGGTGTTAGGGAGGGGCTTGACAGAAGGGAGGGCAGATCGGGGGAGGTGGTAGACAGAAGCAAAACACTGGTGAGGAGGGAAAAGATGGAAGGAGAGAGAAGACAGACAGGAGGAAGAATAGGATGGAGAGAAATACACAGGTAGTAATCATAACTGTAATGTGGATAGGATGAACTCTCCCATAAAATGGAAGCAGATAGCATAGGGATCAAAAACCAGAATCCTTTAATATGTAGTTTACAAGAAACACACTTGAAGCAGAGAGACAGAGAGTAAAGGTAAGCAGTAGCAATCTTGATCTCAGACAAAATAAAATGGACCTAATTAAAGGAGATAAGGAAAGAAACTACATCTTGCTAAAAGGCACCATACACAACGAAGCAATATCAATACTAAACATATATGCACCAAGTAGTATAGCACCCAGATTCTTAAAGGAGAAGTTAAGTGAGTTACAGGGAGAAATAGAGAGCGAAACTATACTAGTGGGGGGCCTTGATTGTCCCCTCTCAGAATTCAATAAATCCAGCCAAAAAAATAAACAAGAAAAAAACTAAGGAGGTAAATAGAATATTAGAAAAGTTAGATATGACAGACCTTTGGCATGATTTAGACATAAAGGGTGACACCATAAGCAAATTGAAGAGCAAGGAATAGTCTACCTGTCAAATCTATGGGGAGGGGAAGAATTCATGATAGACAGCATTATAAAATGTAACAGATAATTTTCATCATATTAAATTAAAAAGCTTTTGTACAAACAAAACCAGTGCAACCAAGATTAGAAAGAAAGCAGAAAGATAGGAAACAATCTTTACAGCAAGTATCTCTGATAAAGGCCTCATTTCTAAAATATATAGAGAACTAAGTCAGCTTTACAAGAATACAAGCCATTCCCCAATTGACAAATAGTCAAAGAATATGAATAGGCAGTTTTCAGATGAAGGAATCAAAGCTATCAATAGCCATATGAAGAAGTGCTCTAAATCATTTTTGATTAGAGAAAAACAAATTAAAACAACTCTGAGGTACCACCTCGCACCTATCAGATTGGCTAATATGACAGAAAAGGAAAAGGCTAAATGCTGGAGAAGATGTGGGAAAATTGAGACACTAATGCATTGTTGGTGGAATTGTGAATGATCCAACCATTCTGGAGAGCAATTTGGAACTATGCCCAAAGGGCCACCGAACTGTGCATACCCTTTGATTTAGCAATACCACTACTAGGTCTGTATCCCAAAGACATCCAAAAAAAGAGGGAAAAGGACCTACATGTGCAAAAATATTTATATCAGTCCTTTGTGGTGGCAAAATATCAGAAATTAAGGGGATGCCTATCAACTGAGGAATGACTGAACAAGCTGTGGTATATGAATGTAATGGTATACTATTGTACTATAAGAAATGATGAACAAACAGATTTCAGAAAAACCTGGAAAGACTTGTACAAACTGATGCAAAATGTAATGAGCAGAACTGGGAAAACATTGCAACACAATGACCAAGACAAGTGCAAAGGACTTAAGAAGGAAAATGCTATCCATATCCAGATAAAGAACTGATTGGACTCTGAGTGCATATCGAAACATATTATTTTCACTTACTTTCTTGTGGCTTTTTTTTTCCTTTTGACTTGTTTCTTCTTTCACAACTGTGACTAATATGGAAATATTTTTGCATAATAACACATGTATGTACTACTATATTGAACTGCCTACCATTTTCGAAAGAGGGGAGGGAGGGAGGAAGAAAAATTTGGAACTCAAAATCTTGTAAAGATGAATGTTAAAATTTTTCTTGACATGTAACTGAGAAAAAATAAAATACTATTTTAAAAAAGAAATAGAAAAAGAAAAAGAAAATGATCTGCTTTCCCTCCCTCTCATTCCCCAGGGAACCAAGTAACATAAGAATTAAGTGCTCTGTGTGTGTGTGTGTGTGTGTGTGTGTGTGTGTGTGTGTGTGTGTATCAAGGCATGGTTCTCTTTTTCTCCTTAATGACTGACTCTCTGCTCATTTTCCACAGGTTTCAGTGGTTAACAAGGCCCCTGGGACCGAGGGGCAGCAACAGGCAAATGGAGAGAAGAAGGAGACTCCATCAGCTCCCTTGGCCCCTCCTACTTATGAGGAAGCTACCTCAGGGGAGGGGCTGAAGGCTGGGGCCTTCCCTCCACCAGCCCCAACTGTGCCCTTTCATCCTAGTTGGGCTTACGTGGACCCAAGTGAGTCTCCCCAACCCTGGTAGTTTGGACTTTTGGGGGTGTGGTGAGACCTGATGAAAAACTTAGAAAGAAGTAGTATAGAAGCAATCTCCTGTATTGTTGTAATGATATCAGTTAGTCAACCCCAGTTCCTGAGTTTTAAGGTAATTGGAAGAAGGTGGGGACATACTGTTTCTGGTCTTGGGAAGACTGATCAGAAGGGCAGGACAGATAGACAGAACTAAGGACCAAACTAGGAATTACTGATCAGGTTTTTGGATCCCTATCCAAAGTGGGGAGGGAGGAAGGAAGAGGAAAGAGGGAGAAGGGAAGGTTTTCTAGAGGAGGAAATCATCCAACAATTCCGAGGATGATGAGTCCAAAAGAGAGAAGAAGCCATTGTAGGTTAAGGATAATGGTTTGAAGATTCAGAGGTGGCAATGGCTAAGGTGTGGGTATGTACCTGGGATTTTGAATGGTTGGAGGGGAAAAGCAGAACCAAGGAATCATGGGAGTTGAATATCTAGATTAGATGGCACAGGGAAACAGGACCTAGGAATAGTGTCCTCTACACTACTTGCTGGTGACATCTCTTAATGTCTTCATTTTCTTTTGAATTCCCCATATCCAGCTCTATCTTGTTTCCCAGAAAGGGTATTTCACTGGGATAGACAGAAGTCTTGGTATTTCTCCAGCCTCAATATTCTGAATTTGATGGGTTCTGCAGCCCAGAACCAATCTCTACCCAGGGTTCTTTTTCCCTTTTGTCACATTCTCCTGTGCCCTGCTCTCCTTCCAGATTCTTACCTTATTCTTTCCTGCCCACAACTTCAGCTCCAGACCCATGAAATAGAGAGAAAGGGACTCAGAAAGTACCTACAGCTTCCCTAAGACTCCCCTTGTCCTCAGCTCAGTGTTAGGGGAAAAACTAGGGCTTAGGCCTCTTTATGGGTCATTCCAATCCACAGAATCTGTTTGCATAAAAGACACCATTTAGATGCTAGAACTGTAGCCAACTCTTTCTCCTCCCCCACTTTTTGTGACCATTCCTATCCTCATCACCAGTCTTAACTAAGGGAGTTGGAGGTTAAGGAGAGAAATAGGATTTGGGAGAAAGGGAAAGGAAGTAAACAAGCATTTATTAAATGCTTATTATGTGCCAGGCACTGTGCTAAGCTTTTCAGAAATATTGTCTCATTTAATTCTCACAACAACCCTGGGAGGTAGGTACTATTATGATCCCCATTTTATAGTTGAAGAAACCAAGGCAGATAGAAGTTAAGTGACTTGCCCACGGTCACAAAGCTAGGAAGTGTCTGATGTTGGATTTGAACTCAGATATTCCTGACTCCAGGCCCAGCTTCTGTCTGGGCTTAAGTGCAGAAGAATGGGTATAAAGTAGTCCCTTCCTCATCTATGAGTGAGGAATATAGGTTTCTGTTTCTACTCAATGCTGGAGGGGAAAGAGAGGACAGTAGAGAGGCTTAGAAGTTAAAGTTTCTAAGGACTCCAGAATTGCCTAAAAAGGTAACAGGGAGTTCCTCCAGACCTACCTCCAGACACTGCTATTTCAGGATGTCCCCGAGAGCATTACAGGGCAAGCAGCATCAGCCATCCACCCTTGAGGAATGGGCAAGGCAGAAGAAGGCTAGGAAGTTAGCCTACCTTCTTCTGAACCATTAGGCTGGCAAGGTTACTTGCCCCACAGCTACTTGAGTTGTCTGTGAAAAAAAGAAATTTAAAAATTAAATTTAAAAATTAAAAATTTTTAAAAATTAAAAAAAAAAAGCTATCTGTGGACCTTCTGGGACTTGGAAAGAATGCTGCCCATATTTGAAAATCACTCAATCCCTGAGTTGATCCTACCCCACCAAGCTACTTAACCTATAACCTTGACCATACTCTAGGCATTATCTTTATCTGATAAACCCACTAGGAGATTCTTTTAGTCTTGAATTCCACAAAGGGGATCAAGGTAATTCTGAGGTCAGGATGCGGCGTTCATCCGCCTCTGACAGTCTTCCTCACTAAGGACTAACTGAATCACAGGAAGTCTGGGATGTGTTGAAGGAGTGTAAAATTTAGATTCACGAAGTTTCTGCCCTCGTAGAACTTGTGGTCTATTAAGAAGACATAACCCATATACAAACAACTAAAATAAAAAATGATACGGAAATGCAAACAAAGTGACATCTTAGGTCCATGGCGGGGAAGGTTATTCATTATTGACTCTCAGGATTGAAGAAGACATCTTTGGCACTTGAGTTGGTGAAAAAAGGAAGAGCATTCCAGGCATATGGAGAAGTGAGAATAAAGGCTTCAAAATGGGAAAATGCACGGTGGCTACAGGGATGGACCACTGTTCCATCTGGCTAGAGTGCACAGTAACATAGAAGGAAAAGATGGCTGTAAAGGGTGGATGGAGCCAGATTGGAAAACCTGGAAACTAAACTAAGAGTTCAAACGTTTATTGTGTAACAGTGGGAAATCATTTTTGAGCAGAAGAGCAACGTGAACAGATTAATCAATCAGCATCTATAATTAGTGCCTACTGTGTACGTGGTGGGCACAAAAAGGGATACATCTGGCCATATTAGGAAGGATGGATTTAGTCAAGAGAGAGAGAATAGAGGCAGAAAGACCTTTCAGTAGACTATTGCAGTAGTCATTGTGGGTGGTAGTAGGTGAGTGGGGTTAGAGAGATAATATGAAAGCCAACAGAATTGACAGAACTTAATAATAATTAGGGCAGCTGGGGGCACTGTGGATAGAGCACTGGGCCTAGAGTCAGGAAGACTCCTCTTCCTTAGTTCAAATCTGGCCTCAGATGCTTACAAGCTGTGTGACCCTGGCCAAGTCACTTAACCCTGTTTGCCTCAGTTTCCTCATATGGAAAATGAGCTAGAGAAGGAAATGGCAAACTTTTGCCAAGAAAACCCCAGATGAGGTCACGGACAGTCGACACAACTGAACAATAACAACAAATAAAAATAATAAATTTATAAAACACTTACTATGTGCCAGGCACTGTGCTTTTATGATCTTTATTTTCTTTATTTTCTTATTTTATTATGTCATTTGATCCTCACAACAGCCCTGGGAGATTAGTGCTGTTGTCATCCCCATTTTACAGATAAGGCAACTGAGGCAAACAGCAAAGTGACTTGCCCAGAGTCACAGAGCTAGTAAGTATCAGAGGCCAGATTTGAACTCAGGTCTTCCTAACTCCAGGCCCAGCACTCTATCCACTGTACCACCTAGAAGTTGGCAATTGATTGATTGAATGTGAGAGATGTAGGGAAAGGAAGAGTTAAAAATAACTCCAAGATTACAAGCGTGAGAGATTGGGTGAATGGTGGTACCAGTGATAAAAAGAGTACCGATAGAATGAGTGGCAAGGTTTTTTTAGGGGAAAGAGAAAAAGCTTGGTTTTGAATGGGTTGAATTTGAGGACCTGTTGGCACATACAGTTAGAAATGGTTGTGGAAGATATAGGTCTGGCACATAGTAGATGCTTAATAAATGTTTGTTGATCTAACTTCAAGAGTGAGATCAGGGCTATAGATTTGGGAACCACCTGAATAGATGTGATGGGTCAAAGTCTATCAGGGGAGGTAGGATGTACCAAGGACCCAGAACAGAGAGACAAGGACTGATCAGTCAGTTGTAAAGCAGAGCTCTGGACATCAGTGCTGAGGGGAAGGGACCCTAGAATCTGGGAAATGATGCTGAAATCAGGGAAAAGTTCTTAAAGAGGGGCTCATGGAATAGCGTATAAATGAGGGAGAAAGGGAAAAGGGTTTCCAAAGAGCAGAATGAATAGCCTGATTGAAAGTTCAGGGATAGGGCAGACAGAGAAGGATGGGAAATAAGGACAAAGCCAACTGTGCTCCATGATCTGATGCCCTTCACTCCAGATAGCAGCCCTGGCTATGGAAGTGGCGGCTACTCTGGAGACCCTGAGATCTTCACCACTTTCAGCTGGGATGATCCTAACGTGAGAAGAGTATTTGTCAGGAAGGTAAGTAGTCCCTTTCCCCATAGCCCTATCCACATCTTTAGGGAAAATCTGGATATTTAATGTTCTGGTGGGCCATCCTCCTTTCTCCAAGCTGAATCGGCCCCTTCAGCCTTTCCCCAGTGGGCCTCACTTTTTAATCTCTTTATGTGGTTGCTTTTTGCTTCCTGTGATGGGCCCTGTCTTCACCCCTTTCCACTATATCCCAGAAGAGTAAGAATTTATCTAGTCCAGCTACTCAGGTCTTGGCTTGGGTCACCTGTTCATAAGACTGCATGGAAAGCTAGACTGCCTTCTATAACCCATGTGGATGGGCCGACCAGCTCATTTCCTATTGCTGACTACCTTTTCTTCCTTCTACCTTTGTTCCTAATAGGTCTACTCCATCCTAATGATCCAGCTGCTGATGACTGTGGGTGTTGTGGCTCTCTTCACCTTCTGGTGAGTCTGGCCTGTGGGTTCAGCCCACAGCTGAACAATAAGATTGCTCATGTTTGCTGGTCGGCACCACTACAGCAGGCACATAGGCTTGTTAAGCTAATGCACAAGGCGGTGAAGTGCATTAGATCTTGAATAATAATAACAACTACTAGCATTTATACAGTGCTTTAAAGTTTGCATATATTATCTCATTTGGGCCTCATAATAGCAACCCTGTAAGGAAGATGCTGTTATTGTCCAAGGCTATAAGAAATGGATTGACTTGCCCTGGATCGCACAGCTAGTAAATGTCAGAGGCAGCATTTGAACTCAAGTCTTTCTGACTCCAAATCCTGTACTATGCTACCTAGCAGCCTCCTTGAAGAGATTAGATGGTAGATGTGCAGGAAATCACGTGACAGGCCTAAAATATATAAGTGGCTCGGTTTCACTCTGGGGAGGAATTCTGTATCTCCTCCAAGTTTAGTGCCAAAGGGAGGGACCTGGGTGTTTTGGAGGTCCAAGGGGAAAGGTTTGAGAGGAAAAAGTGAGCAGGATCTCTTCTGGCCCCAGAATTGCCTAAAAGGATGATCCTGGCCCAGGACTCAGGCTTTCTGACCCATCCTCACACTAGGCATCTCAGGCAGTAGCCCTCCTCATACAGGAGAGCCAGGTTTGAGGGATATCATCTAGAGATTTTTATAAATGCTTGTTTTTTCATGGGGCTTAGGACAGGGAAAAATAAATATAACACATATCTAATCTCTCTCTGTCTCTCTCTCTCTCTCTCCTGCAGTGAACCAGTCAAGATGTATGTTCAGAGCAACCCAGCCTGGTACTGGGCATCCTAGTGAGTATAGCAAGTGGGCCTGCTCCTGGATTGGGTCAGGAAACCATTTCCTAGGGGATCTAGACATAGATATAGAGATTCCCCAGGAGCTCCCAAACTGCCTCTTACTAGCTAAGAAGTATCAGACACAGAGAACCAGGCTTCTAATGAGGGCCCATACACAAATATCCTGTGGAATGTTCCATGACCTCTGCCATTGGAGAGGGACTGGACCCTCTCCTTTTCAGAGAGGAGTAAACCAATCAAAGCCCTCAGAGGTTCTGATGGCAGAAATTTGAGACTCAGCAACACTAATAATGTAGAATTCTAAGACTTAGAGCTAGAAGAGGACCTTAGAGAAGTGATTTCCAAACTTTTATTAATTTTTTATGGAGTGTTGTCCATCTTTGTTATAATCAAAATGGCCACGCTTCTTCCATGTTTTTCATAAAATGACATTTACAAATGATTTCATTAGCTCATATTTTATTCAGATAAAATTCAAAATTCAGATAAAATTAAGAATTAAGATTATAGTTTTATAACACAAATCTTATAAAACATCTAATAAAAAGAGCATACCAGGGGCAGCTAGGTGGTGCAGTAGATAGAGCACCAGCCCTGAAGTCAGGAGGACCTGAGTTCAAATACGGCCTCAGACCAAACACTTGACACTTACTAGCTGTGTGACCCTGGGCAAGTCACTTAACCCCATTTGCCTAAAAAAAAAAGAGCATACCAAATAACAATCGTTGTATTGAGTTCATTGTCATAGCCTCATAGGCTAGGAGATAAAAAGGACTCTAGTGGTTATGTCTCATTTTACTATTAAGGAAACTGAGGCCCAGAGAGTAAATGACTGGTCCAAGGTCTCAGGCGTAATAAGGGTTACAGGCAGGATTTGAAACCAAATCTGCCTGGTCCAAATCTAATACTCCTTCCACTATACCATGCTGCCTCCCAAAGGTAAAGGGAAAAATACAACAGCCTCCAAAATCGTTCAGCCTCCATCCCAGGGCATTCTAGGTGTCTGGGATTTAGGTTGTCTCCCTACCCCAGAGTGGTGGCCAGCTGAAGAGAGGCATTGGCTTGGGAACCTCCTTTGTCTGACTCTTCACGACAACAAATCATGTTTCTATAGTGCTTAGATGTTAACAAAGCTAGACTTTACTCCTTGGGGATTATTTTCATCCCCTTAAGAAAGGTAAAACCCACTTAAAAAAGGAAACTCTGGTCATGGGGTCCTGGTTGTGAAAAAGAATATTGAACGGTGGTAGTAATTTTGGGGGTGATCACCTTAAGTGAACCTACTTAATTTTCCAAACAAATCCTAGCCCTCTAAGAAACAAGTGGGTAAAATGAGGGGAATGGGTTTGGATCAGTTGGGTAATTCTAGCTAAGTCTATGCAGGCAAAGGATCCAGATAATTCTAGCAAAAAAAAAAAAAAAATACGTGCTGGCCTCAGTTATAAAGGTAGACTGAGGTTGTACTGTTGTCTGAATGTCTAAACAATTTGCTCCTGTAAATTTAGCCTCTGGGAGTTCCTGGGGGCTGGGGCTGGAGCTGGGGCTGCGGTTGGGGAGTCAGTTGGGTGAGGGAGGAGAACAGAACTGCCGTCACCACAGTCTTAATCATTCAAGAAGTATTTACTGAGCACCTATGCTAGGCACTGTGGGTGATAAAGGAGAGGTGCCTGATAGGGTAATTGCCCTTTAAGAGTTTAAAAATACTGTGGGGGAAACAAATCACATGTGAAAAAGATAACTAGTAATACAAGGAAATATTTGATTAGTGCCAAATGACATTACAGGCTATGGGAGTTTACAGGAAGAAGAGGGGGAGTGGCAGGGTTAGGGAAGACTTCCTGAAGGAGGCAGGCATTCAAGAGTAGGCAGGGAAAAAGAGGTTGGGAAGGATATTCCAGGCAGAAGATCAGAGGCGCTGAAATGAGAATTCTCACTGTCTGTCCAGGCTTCAGTGAATGGGCCAGTCTGACCCAAACACAGCATTGACAGGATCATAAATTTAGAGTGGGAAGAGACTTCAAAATTTATCATCTAGTCTAACTGCCTCTTTTTACCCATGTGGAAATTAAAGCATCTAGTTGGTGCAGTGGATATGGTGCCTAAATTCAAAGACCTGAGTTCAAATCTGGCCTCAGATACTTACTAGTTGTGTGACCCTGAACAAGTCACTTCCCTGAGCCTTAGGTGGGAAGGGAGCAGTCATTAATTGAGCCCCTGCTATGTGCCAGGCACTGCACTAAGTGCTTTACAAATATCATCTCATTTGATCTTCACTGGGGAGGTAGATGCTACTATGATCCCCATTTTACAGTTGAAGAAACTGAGACAGGCAGAGATAAGTGATTTGGCCAAGGTTTTATAATTAAGTGTCAAGGGCAGGACTTTGAACCCAGGTTCTCTGTCTCCAGAGGAATCGTTCTTTACACGGCCACACTGAGTTAGTTTATGTAGGAGAGTAGCACGTTTGGAGAGGCAGATTGGGAATGGATGATGGAAGGCCTTTGGAATATCTAACAGAAATTAGGACTTAATCCTGCAGTGTCCTCCATCTTTCAGGGTATAGTGAGTGTCATTACCCCCTCATCCCCCTCCTCCTTTGGAAACCTGACACAAGGAAAGAGCCCTAGGCAGGTAACTCATTTTGGGAACAGATTGGCAATCCTGCTCCAAACTAGAGCTCTGAGCTACCCTAGAAAACAGTGGCAACCTCCAGGGGACGCAACAACATTCAACTGAGAAATGACAAAAATCTGTCAGGACCAAGGGTTCTTAACCTTTTTGTGTCCTGGACCCTTTTGGCAGGCTTGTGAAACCTATGGAACCCTTCACAGAAGAATGTTTTTTACATGGATAGGAAAAATGAAAAAATGCAAATTTGCAAATTTTTTGCAAAAATGCAAAAAAATGCAAATTTGCAAATTTTTTGCAAAAATGCAAAAAAATGCAAAAGAACCTGATTATATTGAAATATAGTTATAAAAATATTTTAAAAGGTCATGGGCTCCAGGTGAAGAGTATCCCCCTGCTCTAGAGCCATCTGCCCCCAAGAGTTTCAAAGCAACCAGAACTCTGCCCCCACCACCCACAAGAGTGCTAGACTAATTAAGAAGATTCTCCCACTGAAACCCAGATTGCAGATGCTCCCCTGATCCCAACTGTTGACCTTTCTTAAGAGAGCAAGGTTTGGAAGAAATCTCACCCTGGGGATATGTTATGTGTGCCGAGGAGGGAAGGACAGGTGCCCTAAGGGTTACTCCCGTCCTGCATGTGCTTCCAAGCTAATGAGGTCTCCCTGGGACCAGCAGCATGTCTGGTTGGCATGGTTCCCTCGTCATGTGCAGCATCCTGTGCTGGACCAGTCTGGCAAATAAGCTTTGGCCCACATAACCAGGGCTGCATGGAAATGAGGCATCAGGCCTAATGAGAAATGTAACCTCCCTGGCCCTAGTTCTCAGGGCTCCTCTGCATGGGTTGCTATGGGAATTTTTGTCTGGGGAAAGACTCAGACTGTCAGCTCCAATTGGGCTTCTCTGATCCAACTTGGTTGGGGGGCAAGGTGAAAGGGACCATGGGAGAAGCCTTGGGAGGGGTTTAGGGAGAGGATGTAACCTTGGGAAATAGTCATGTGGCCATCACAGACTGGGTAGCAGGAGAGAAATTTCTGTGAATTTGACTGCAGAAACCTCTTCCCCTGGCTACCAGGGAGGGGAGGGGGATACTGGGCAACATGTAGACATTAATCATGGTGTGCGTGTGTGTGTGTGTGTGTGTGTGTGTGTGTGTGTGTGTGTGTGTGTGTTTAATAAGATGGGGGTGGGGAGGAAAGAAAGGAGAAAAACCCAGGGCTGATGAAGGAGTGAAGCTTTAGTTTTATTTGTGTTGGCCCAAACCTTGGATTTCCATCCAGAGCATCATCCCCAATTCCTCCAGGCAGCCTTCCTTGGCTGGCCTCCCCAGAACTCCAGTCTTGTTCAGTCCTCTCAGCCCCCAGCACAGCTGTCAGGAACCCCGTCAGGCTGCTCTTCAGTTTTCTTTGCTTTCCATATCTGAGTTCCTGGGGAGTGTGTCTGGTTATCGTGGTTTGCACAGAATGCCCAGGACCCTCCACAGAGGGTTGGAGTACCTCGGAGGAGGCTGAGTAACAAAGGGGCCTGGCTGCCTCCATTTGCTGGACTTGCTGGCAAGTCCAATTTTCCTTTCCTGCCAGTCTGTAAACAGCCTTGAGGCTCAGGAACTCAGCCTGATCCTGGGAACTCTGTCTAATGCTGCTGTGGCTCTTCTCACCTCCCTTATGACTCAGCCTCTCCTCCTACCTCTCCACCTCCTTACATGGAGGAATGACACCTTCCCTCCTCAAGCCCCAACCAGCTGTCCTGACTTTTTCCAGTCTCCATCTTTCTCTGCAGTTTCTCTCCCTGTCTGAGCAAACCCTGAAGAGCTGTGGAAAGCCAGAGCAGGAGAAGCCAGGGCTTCCAGATGTGGAAGAGAGTGAGGTCAGCCCAAAACAAAATAACAACAACCCAACCTTGTAGATAAGAGTTGTGAGAGGCCCCTCTGAAGCATTTGATCCTCTTTCTTGAAGCACCATCCTCCCTCGCCTTCCATAGTACTGCAGGATCCTGGTTCTTTTCCTTTTCCTCAGGGTCTTTCATTGCTTCTTTTTCCTCTTAAATTTAGGTGTCCCTGAAGGTTCTACCCTCAGCTCCCTTCCCTTTTTTTTTTTTTTTTTTTTGTCTAGGCAATGGGGTTAAGTGACTTGCCCAGGGTTACACAGCTAGTAAGTGTTATGTGTCTGAGAGGTCGGATTTGAACTCAGGTCCTCCTGAATCCAGGGCCGGTGGTCTATCCACTGCACCACCTAGCTGCCCCTCCCTTCTCTTTCTGTAGTTTCTGTTGGCACTCTCCAATCCCACAGCATGTAGGTGGAAGATTCCTAAAAGCCTAAAAGAGCTGGGAGGGGATAATGAAAAGAGCACCAGATCTGGAGTTTGAGGACCTGGGTGCAAACCCCCAGCTCTGCTACTTCCTGGGTGACCTTGGGCCAATCATTTAACCTCAGTGTATTTCAGTTTTCTCATTTGTAAACCAAGGAGACCCTGAGGTCCCTCGCAGCTCTAAACCTAGGATGCTATGATCTCCAGACCCAGATTTCTAGCTGCCTGGTGGACATTAAATTCAATAGTATCCTAGTTTTAGGATGCCCTAAATTACATTTAGGGGAAGCTAAGGGTACAGTGGATAGAGTGCAGGCCCTGGAGTCAGGAAAACCTGAGTTCAAATCCAGTCTCAGTCACTCACTAGCTGTGTGACCCTGGGCAAGTCACTCAACCCTGGCTTCCTCAGTTTCCCCATCTGTAAAATGAGCTGAAGAAGAAAATGGCAAACCACTCCAGTATCTTTGATAAGAAAACCCCAAATGGGGCCACAAAGAGTTAGACATGACTGGAAAAACTACTCAACAATAACAGAGTAAGAGAAAATTAGAGATGAAGTTTCTGTTTCTTTAGTACCTTTTCCTAGAGGTAGATAATGAGAAATACTAAAATGTAATTACAATTTGACACCGGTAGGCTGTGTGTCACCTTATGTGCACACACTATGAGACCCTTGGGGTAGAAGTAACAGTCCTGAAGTGACTTCCCTATGGTCACATATACTCATATATATGCATATATAGTATTATGTATATTACTTGTATATATGCATATATACTCTCATATACATGAGAGTACACATATACATACATCCATATAAGAGTATAAAAATAAGTATATGTGAAATATATATAATATATGTGTATGTGAGAGAGAATTGAATCAAATATTCCTGATTAATCAATCAACAAGCATTTATCAAGGACTTAATGTGCCAGGCACTGACCACGCTAAGTGCCAGGGATACAAAGCCAAAAAAAAAATTGGAAAAAAAAGTTTCTGCCTCATGGAATTTACGTTCTATCAAGGTATAGACATAAAAAGTAAGGACAAAGTATAGGCAAGGTAAACACACAGAGTAATTGGGGAGGGCACTAGTAGCTGGGGAGATCAGGAGGAAAGGCTTCACATAGGAAGTGCCACTGGAGCTGTGAAGCAAACTTAAGGTTCCAGTCAATCAACAAAGATTTATTCTATGCTAGACACTGTGCTAGGCACTGAGGATGCAGAGAACCTCCAGCAGTGAAGATCCTTGTCCTAAGACATCACACACCTCTGAGACCTGCGTTGGCTCAGGTCACTGTGTAGACTCACAGAGACTGGCCAGCCAAGTGATGGTTGCTGGGGCTAAGTGTGAGGTTGAGGTAAACCCTGGGGTCTGTGATTTTTTTTTCCTCTTTTACATCTAAGCATGGATTTCTTCAGAGGCCTTTAGGCAATTTTTAAAATTTTTTTGGTGTGCAGCCTTGGAGATAGCAGGTAGAGTTGTGCATTTTTATTCAGGGTAGACAAGATAGAAGGTGGTACAAGGACTAGGTGCTAGGGACCATACCCAGACTAGGCTGGCCTTCTGCCCTCTCATCCTACTTCCCACCCTAGAACTAATAATCACCCAGAGGCCCAGAGCATGGGGGGTTTTGACTGAGAGCCTCATTCTATGCTACGCCCATCTCTTTCCTTAAGTCTTGTGATTTAGTCACTATCTTCCAGATCAAACCTCCTTCCCCTGTCATTACTCTTGGGTCAGCCCTCCCTCTCCCCAGTCTTTCTCCTTCTCTGCTTTGCCCTTCTGTTATGCCCCAGGGCAGGTACTAGTGACGTTGTTGGTCATGCTTTCTAGAGCGGTGTGCCCCTTTCTTTCCTGCTCACCAACACACCGGGACAGGAGGGAGAAAAGTCACACTGACTGCTTCCTCTGCACTGTCACTTCCCTGCCTCTCCCTTTGTCACCTTCACTTAAGCACCCATCCTCCTTTCAGGGTCACTCCCCTCCATCTGTACCATCTATACCACCCAGTGTGTATTCTTGTTGCTACAATCTACTGACCTCCAGGTCATTCTCCTTCCTTTCTTGAGGAGTTTAGCATTCAACTCACTCTCTACCCCATCCCCTGCCTTCAGTGTACCGATTAATGATTCCTCAAACATCCTGGCCTGACAGTTAATCAACTTCTTCAACTCTTATATCTTCACTCTATTTCATTTACCTTCAAGGATGCTCATACCTTGGATCGCACCATTTCCCATAATTCATATCACCTCCATTAACTTGGATTCTAAAATTATCCTCTCTACTTATAATTCTTCTAGCTTCTCCTCTGCCTTCTATTAATCAACATTTTGATAACTGTATTTCAATATCATTGGCTTCCTTTGTAACCTTGTAATTTTGTTTTATGCGTTTAAAAACATTTTTCCCAGAAGCAGTCTGTCAATTTCACCAGACTGCCAAAGGGATCCATGGAACACAAAAAAAAAGTTAAGAACACTTGTCCTCAAACTATTTTTAATATAATAAATTGTAATTATATCTTTTTTCCTGGGCCCTCTTTTCACCCTCCCTTGATTAAAACTGCTCTTGTGGGTTCAATATTACCTCTTTATGAATGACCCCCAAATCTCTCTACCTGACACTCTATTTCTAATTATAGTATGTTAGCTCTAATTCCATCTCACCAACTGCCTTTTGGACATCCCCACCTGAATATACCATAGACATCTCAAACTCAACATTTCCTAAACCCTTATCTTGGTCGTTATCTTTCCCTCAAAATCTAACAGTCCTCGAAATTTCCCTATTCCTTGATTCAGTCAGTCAAAAAGTTTTTATTAAGCACCTCCTATGTGCCAGACAGTTTGCTAATCTCTGGAAATATAAAGAAAGGGAAAAGATGGTCTCTGCTCTCCAGGACTTTACAGTCTAACGGGAGAGACAAACAACTACATACAAACAAGTTATACACAGTTATACACTGTGTATAAACAAATTATACACAGAAATAAATTGGAGATAATCAACAGAGGGAAAGGTGATCAAACTAAGGGAAGAATCAGAAAAGGATTCCCATAGGAAGATTTTATCTGGGACTTGATAGAAGCCAGGAATTAAAGTTAGGGAGGGAGAGAATTCCAAGCTTGGGAGATAGCCAGTGAAAATGCCTGGAGGTGCAGTGTTTTTGAGAAGTTCGATATGCCTAAAGTCAGACAGTAACTTAATAGCTTATGTGACCCTGGAGCAAGTCACTTAACTTCTGTTTGCCCCACTTTCCTCAGCTGTAAAATGGGGACAATGATAGTACCTACCTTGCAGAGTTGTTATGAGGATCAAATGAGATATTTCTAAAAAGTGCTTAGTATAGTGCCTGGCACATAGTAGGTATTTCATAAATATTTGTTCCCTTCATTCCCCAATTCTACAACTTTGGAGTGCCATATTTGACTCTTCAATATCCCTTCTCTACCCTATCCAGTCAGTTGCCAAATCTTATTGATCCTACCTCCTCAGCATCTTTCACCACCCTAGTTCAGGCTCTTCTTGTCCCGTGGATTATTGTAGTAACATCTTAATTACTCCTCCTGCTTCCAATTTTTCCCTTCTTCACAGAGCTGCCAAAATAATCATCCAAAGCACGGGAATGAGTATGTCATTCTCCAAGTCAAAATCCTTCTATGTAGCTCCTTAGAATCCCCCCAGATAAACTATAGACTCCTCAGTCTGGCATGTAAGACCTTCTACAATCTTATTTCAGCCTATCTCCTCAGACTTATTTCATATTAGTCCCCTTTATGTACCCTACCCTCAAGTCAAACTAGCCTCCTAGTTGTTCCCCAAGTACAGTATTCCATCTCCTGTCTTAGTGCCTTGGAAGAAGATGCTGTCCTCTCCATCCCTGGAAATCACTGCCTCCTCAACTCTGCTGCCCTGGACCCTTATTCCAGGCCCAGCATAGGTGCCACCTTCTTGGGAAAGCCTTCCCAAAGGGTACTGCACCCCCCAATCTGTTGTTAGCACTTTCTCCATCCTTAAACTATCTTGTATTTACTTACCTTACTCTATTCACTTTTACTTACCTTACATATACCACTTCCTCCTCCTACCACCCTCCCTTACCCAGTAGAATATAAGGCTCCCCCTCTCCACCTTCCCCCCCACCACCACAGCAGGGACTATTTCCTCACATAGGTGAGTGCCTGGTACTAGTAGGTGCTTAATAAATGCTTGTTGAATTGAGTTACATGGAAGTCATGGATGGCACCATGGTCTAGTGGAAAGAGCCCTAGTTTGAATACTAGTTCTGCTGCTCACTGCTTATAAGATACTGTACCTCCTCTCTGGGTGTTAGTTACTAATAACTAATAATTAAGAGTTGGATAGTAAACTAGACGATCTCTAAGGTTCCTTCTACTTTTAAATGCTACAATATTAAGCTTTCCCTACAGTCAAAAATCAGCTCTAGGGCTTTCTCACCTTAATCAGTTCTCTTAATTTCACCAAGGTTGTCCCTCTTGGGGAAGGCGTGGGATGGGGAGGGAAGGGAGACAGTTCCTGACTCTCCTGGCTCTGGGTACTAGATGGCTAATGTTATGTGTCTTCTCCTTCCCTCAGTGCTGTTTTCTTCATGACTTATCTAATCCTGGCTTGCTGTTCTGGACCAAGGTATGGTCATTTAAGGGGCAGCCAGATTGGGAGGAAAAATGAGATGTGAGGCAGGAAATTGGGATTTGGAACCCTAGGGACCCACGTTCTGCACAGCCCTCTGAAGATCCAGTTGTTCTGTATCTTCATCAAGACCTCCTTGTGTCCTGTCTTTATATAGACTTGAGAATGGGGGGAAGTCTTCAGGAAGTGGTATGATATTTAAGGAAGCAGGAAGGATCTAGCCCTCTGGTATAATTACTTAGTCAACAGTCATTTATAAAACACCTACTGGGTGCCAGAAACTGGGCTACTGGGGATATCATAACAAAAATGAAATAGTTTATGCTCTCAGAGAGCCTATCTTCTATGGGGGGAAATATCATATACATACACACATGTACATTGTATGTAAACATGTATTATGCATATATATGTGGTATATACAAAATAAAAGGCATTGGGGGAAAGCACTAGCAACTAGGAGGTCAGAAAAATTTTCTTTATAAGGTGGCACTTGAGTTTTAAAGAAAATAATGGATTATAAAAGGCAGAGGTGAGAAGGGAGTTAACTCTAGGCATGGGAGACAGCTGTGGAGATGGGAGATGGAATTTCACATGTGAAGAATAAGAAAGCCAGTTTGGTTGGACCACAGAGTGAGGCAAGGGCAGTAATATGTAATATGGTTGAAAAGGTAGGTTGTGACTAGGTTGGGAAGGGATTTAAATGCCAGGGGAGTTTGTAACTGATCCTAGAGACAATAGGTGGCAACTAGAGTTTACCAAATAGAGGAGTGACATGTGCATTATTTAGGGAGATCACTTTGGCAGTTACCTATGTGGAGGATGGGTTGGAGAAAGGAGAGACTTGAGACAGGAGACAAATTAGGAGGTTCTTGCAGTAGTCCATGGAAGAGTGATAAGGACATGAACTAGGGATGGTGGTTATGTGAGTGGAAGGAAGGGGGAAGATACCAGGTGTTAGCAAGGTAAAAATGAAAAGATTTAGTAACTGAATAGATGTGTGGGGTGAGGGAGAGTAAGAATGAGAAGTCAAGGATAATAAGAAGCCAAAGTTGTGAAACTGGGGGCCTGCAAGAATGCTGGTGCCCTTGACAGAAATAGAAAAGTCAGGAAGAGGAGTAGGTTTGAAGGGAAAGAGACTAGGTTCAATTTTTGCCATGTTGAATATGAGATGCCTACAGGACATCTGATTGGAAATATCCAACAGGCAGTTGGTGATGTGAGACTGGAGAACAAAGTAAAGACTAGGGAGATAGCTGGATAGTTAGATAGCTGGATAGCTGATTAGATAGATGGATAGATGGGTGAGCGGATGGATGGATGGATGGATGGAGAAAGAGAGATAGGAGAGTCATCTGCATAGGGATAGATGATAACTGAATTCATAGGAATTGTTGAGATCTGCTAGGTGAGAATGTATAGATATGGAAGAGAAGACCAGGATACAGCATTGGGGTATACACAATAAGATAATGTGATATGTTGCTCCAGCAAAAAAAGACTGAGAAAGAGTAGTCAGACAGGAAGAAAACCAAGTGAGTACCGTTTCACAAAAATCCATAGAAAAGAGTATTTAGAAGGAGAGAGGTGGTCGACACTCAAAGGCTGCAGAAAGGTCTACAAGAATGAGAACAGCGAAAAGATAGGGCAACTGAGAGATTGTTGGACTTTGATCAATACCTTGGCTAACCTTAATGCCAGAGGACCAATGATGAAGCACGCCATTCACCTCCTGACTGAGAGATGATGGATTAGAGGTGTAGCATCAGACACATTTGCAAGCATCACCAATATGGGGATTTGTTTTACTTGATTCTGTTTATTCATTACAAGAGAAGGCTTTTATTTTAAAATTGGGGTGGGAGACTTAAGTGGAATAGAAAGGTAATGATAATGATGCCAGAATAAGAGAAAAAGGGGTCACTGAAGCATTTTTAAAATGTATAAAAGATACAGAAGGAAGTTCAGAGGGAGGCAGTCAAGCGGGACAACTTTGAAACTCAAGAGTTGAAGTTACTGTAAACTCTTTAAGAACCAAGCTGTCCAAAATAGAGATTTGCAATTTCATATGTAGTTTTTTCTTTTCTTCTTTATGTATAGAAATGTTCATATTTGTTGGTATTATCAAGTTCAGGATAACATTTTTTAAAGATTTCTAAAAGTGACCGGTTGAATGGTGAGTTAGGAGCCAGGTTGCACAGAGTTGAGATGTGAGTGAGAAGAAAGAACGTGAAAAGGGCTCTAGGGGATTTATGGGCCTACCTCTGATCGCTGTGATTTGGATTACAGGAGATATTTTCCCTGGAACCTGATTCTCCTGAGCATCTTTGTAAGTGAGAAAGCAGGGGCTGAGGGTGGGCTGGGACAAGGGCTGAGCAGGTCTCATGTATGAGCATGGTCCTCCCATCTCTCTGAGGTTCGAGAGTCTAAAATTTAGAGGCAGGATACATCAGGACCAGAATATTTCCACTCAGAGGAATGGGTTGAGACTTAAGGGACCTTTAGATTGGGGGTGTCCTTTATGATGTCTTTGGGGACAGACAGAGCCATTGCTATCTCGATTCTCCTTTTAAAAAAAGCCCCAGTTCCTACCATCCCCTGCCCCACATACACATGAATACACATACACACAGGTCCTTGTGCCTTTCTTCTAATCCGTTATCCAGTGGTTTATAAAAATAATCTCAAGAAGGACTTTGGGTTTAGGGTAGGTGTGGTAAAGAGAGGGATAGGGTCTTGGGGTGGGGGTAAGGAGCAGAGATTTAAGTTAGGGATGGGCTGAGAAGTAGAGACAAGATGATGATAAGGAAAAAACACCCTAGGCAAATGATCCCAGTTCCTGGAGGTTAGGGTAGTTTTGGACCTGTGTCCTGGGGCAGTTTTTGTGTAGGATTGATGTCTCTGTCTTCCACACCTGACCTCCAGTGGGGATGACCAGGGTTGTACTGGACCTTTTAACTAGAACCCAGACCACTGAGTGAAGCTGCCAGGATTAGGATCTGGCCTAGGTCAGAGACTGATGACATTCATCCCTCCTGGGGACTAAGGAATGGGATTAGGGAGTGGGGACAGTAATACCGGTGGGAGGAAAGAGGGACAAAACACAAGTGACACCATGAGTGATATGACTCAGATAAAACGAACTTGTGTCCCAAAAGCCCAAGCTCTGGGGGCTCTCCCTTCTAATTTATTTCTCATTGCAGACCCTGTCCATGGCCTACCTCACTGGGATGTTGTCCAGGTAATGAAAAGAGAAGAGGTGGGGGATAGTAGAATTGTAATTCTGGGAAATGGAGAGACCTGGCCTACCTTTTCCAGACTGACTTCTCAGTTTACAACTGCCTGCATCAATCCTTCGTTCTAAGAGGGGAGAGGGCAGCCAGAGCTAGAGCCAAATCTCATCAGTTTCATGTCTCCCCACCAAGTAGCTTATATTTCCTAAACTTCCTAAAACCGCCAAGGCAAAATCACACACACACACACACACACACACACACACACACACACACACACAC